GAGTTGAGAGCTTGACTCTTTTCCCAATTAAATTAACTCAACAATCTAAAAACTGAGCATCTAAAACATTCTAGTTGACTTAACAAGTCCTTAGTCAACAAAATGTTGTTACTGTGAGTTATTAAAAATCTGCCATCATAAGTAGAATATTATTATTTTTGTCAGGAACATATTTTCTGGAAGGATGTCACATTTTCCAAAATGACCATCTTATGTATTCTTACAATGTAACATGGGTTGACTTCCTCCTACCCCTCCCCTCTATCTCACGTTGACTATTGTCACTGCTTCAACCAATAGTGAAGTTACACTATTTGTTGCACAGCCATGGTAACTGGAGCAGGCAACTGGAAAAAAACAATTGTCAGCCCAGTTAGGCCAAACTGTCAGACAAATGAAGCATGTCTTAGAACAATCCATCCTTCAGTGTAAATGACCATTGTGATGGTAGAGCAGAGGTGCTGCCTAATTTGTGAGGTTTCCATTGATTCCTGGGGTTGTAACTACTGGAGAAATCAAAGACAGTTTTGCCTTAAAAAACTCATAGCTCTGGGAGAATAAAATATCTTTCTTCTTAATAGTTTTTCCAGTAATTAAGGTTTTATTTCCACATCCTTTTTAGTAAGTGTAAAAGTATACTCCAAATCACTCTTTCTCTCATAGTGGTAAAGGGGGTGGGGAGCACAGTCCATATGTTTCCACATAAATCTAATTACTATCTAAATACTGGCTTTCACTGAGGTCACACACCTATACTGTGGAGGGCTTCAAATGGTAGAGGAAAAAATTTACATCTGGAGAATATCAAGTCTTGTCTATTGTAGCTTGTTGACTGCAATTGCCATGCCAATTTTCTTGTTGTTAATTCCTTTGTAACATTAAAGAAAAAAATGATTCTAAACTTGTCATAAACTGGAATTGGGTAATAGGTATGATGGACAATAGGCAACTCAGACTTGCTAAATATTAAAATGCTTCCCTCACTGTCCTGAGGTGAAACAAAATGTGAGGTCTACACATGTGAGTAAAAAGGATAAAAAAGGATAGCTTTGCTTCTGGCCATTAGTAATAGAATGAAAACAAATCCCCCAGCTGCTGAGAGTAAGATGCTCCATGCAGTTCATCAGTGAAAAAGGTGCTAAATGGCTACTGAGTCTGTTTGGAATTGTCCATAGCAAATGGATTCCTGAGCCTTTGGTCTGACAGAGTGAACAAAACATTGCCAATAGATGATTGGAAGGCCTTTCAATAAGGGAAGTATTTAAGAAGGCAAATGGAGGAAAATTATTTTTCCCTGTGTTTTACCCTGCCAGTATGCAGAGTCAGGAAAAGAGACATCATGATTCTCCGACATAATTTGGGATTTTACATCAGAATGTGTCATGAACTCCTTCGAATCTGAGGGCAGAAGAGAGGGATAGGGAATCAAAAACTATTTCAGGTTTTCTAATTCTTTGCTCCAACAAATAATGAACTTTGGCTTATGAATAATGCATAAAAGTATTTTAAAGACCTTTTACCCAAAGCCATTTTGGACTAGATGAGCAAGTATTTTAGACATAGTTAGTATTTTGGAATGATTCTCCAGATTATGTAAAACAGTGCTTTACTTTATCCTTGATTAATTTCAAAACATAATTAAGAGGAGGGGTCTTGGGCTTATATCCCAATCTCTCACTTCTTGATTGCTTATAACAGATTGCTGAATTTCTTTTTGCCTAAAGTTACCCATCTTTAGAAATTAATTGTATGTACTAGCTCCAGAGTACTTTGTGGGAATTAAGTGTAATGAAACACTTGAAGGACTTAGAGTAGTGCCTCACATTTGCTCCTAGTTAGTATTATTATGTTCAGCTGTGGCTTTCTAACTTACTATAAGTGCATACTGTCTTCTTGGCTGGTTTTCAGTTTGTTTTCTTCATTTCCTCTGTAGTAGTGAGTTGATCATGACCACTCATGGCATTTGCTATCACAAATTATAACTTGTAATTTTCTGTCTTATCACCCTCCTTCTTTTCTCTTAAACTTGAGACAGTTTATTTGCATTTTAATAAGGTCTTCTTTTCATATTTTATCTTACAAATAGCTTTTTAAAAACTATTCCTTTCGAAAACCAAACAAAGAAATACAAATATCCATATATGATTAAAAGGTAGTTATTTAACCATAAGCTTCACGAGGCCATGGGGCCATGATTGCTTGCTTGCTTGCTTGTTTGTTTTTGTTCACAATTTTAGAGTACATATAATCCAACAACATCAGGGTTCTTTTTATTTATTTATTATTCATTTTTCCTGTGCTGAATTCCAGAGTAAGGTAGCCCTTGATAGCATTGAAAGCTATATTGATCAGGGTCCCATCAGGAAACAGATGGTTTATTCTAATTAGGCAATTTGAGTAGAAACTAATAAGGCACTATTTTGAAATGTGTGGGTAGGGGTTAGTGACAGCAACCAGGTCTTGTGTCTCCTTTCAGGGCCAACAAGAGGGTATAATTCATTGTAATAGATATCAGGGTTGAGATGGTGTTAGGCACTGCAGGAAATTCAGCAAAGACTTCTCTTTTATGATGAGAGGCAGGGGAAGTCAAGAAAAATTTTATGGATGGTAATAGTTAAAATGGATTTTGAAGAAAAATTAGGTGCCTTGGTTATTTCTCTCAGGGATTTTATTTTAAGCATTATTTCTAGCTGCTTTCTTAGGAACTCCCTACATCTGCTAGACAATCTATATCACAAGTATCTAATATTGGATCCCAGTGTTCCTCACCTCCTGGTATTCATGTGCTTGTGTAAGGTAGATGTTGTGACTTACTTCTAACAAAGAATATGACAGAAATGATGGGACATAAGTTAAGAGCTTCAGTTAAAAAATGATTCTGGTTTCTTCCTTTTTCTACCTCCTTACCTCCCTCATTTTCTCTGTGAGAAGCCAGCCACTGTGTTGTAAATAACTCATGTCAGTCCATTGCTGCTGCTGAAAATAAATATCTGAAACTAGGTAATTCATAAATTATGGTTTGCTTTCTTGTTTCAAGATGGTACCTTGTTGCTACAACCTGTGGATGAGACAAAAGCTGTGTTCTCACAGGTAGAAGAGAAAGAAAAGCCAGGCATCTCTCTTAAACCTCTTTAATAAGGGCATTAATCCCATTCATGAGGGCAGAATTTTCATAGTTGAATCCAAAATGGTTTTACCTCTTGGTATCACCATTTTGGGGATTAAGTTTCGACATGAATTTTGGAGAGATACAGATATTCAAGCTGTGGCATTCTACTCCGTGGACTGCTAACTTCATATCCTCTTTGCAGTTCCAATAGTTCCAATATCTCTGAGCCTGGGTTGGTTGGTTTATTTAAAAATATTTTTTTTCTTTCCTTATTTGTATTTTTTGTAAGATCTTACCAAATGGCAGAAATCAAGGTGAGGAAAAATTTAAATTATATTTATAACTCGAGCTCAACACACTTCTTCTTTCAGGCATATAAAATGATGGTTTGGGTTTTATAGTTGCAAAAGTTACTTTTAGTCTACTTTAGTATTCAAATTCCTCTATCAAAAGCCTGACTTTGAACTATGGTTAAGACTGGAATGTTAAAGAGTTTCACTCAGTGTTTACATTATATAAATATTAGTAGAATATTTATCTTGCACTTTAGTATTCTAAATTTTGTAATTTAGTTAAAAATGCAAAGCTGTTTGTTTACAGAATGATTATTTGTAACATATTTATACCCTTTAAAAGGTTAATAACTGGAACTAGATGTAGATCAGAGATGGAATTATAAGCCAGACCTGATTCAGTGAAGGTGTTCATTTTTACCTAAGAAAGAATTTCAAAGAAGGGGCATCTTAATGCACTATCAAGTGAACCTACATTTGTGCCCATTGCTCTAATTTATTAACATATACCTGAGCATGATTGGAAATTCTTTTGTTGAAACTCAGTAATAACATGGTTTCTTGTATTTAAAATGTAGTCATAGAGAATGACTCAACATCCTACTTTATCGAGGTCTGTTTTAGGTTTAGCTAAATCTCCCATGTTCTAGGAGAACCCTTCTTAGTTCCATATGAACTGTGTAGGTTTGTCAGTTAATGACTGGACACCAACAGCATTGATGTTACCTGGGAGCTTGTTAGTAATGAAAAATCTTAGCCCTACTTCAAACCTACTGAATCAGAAATGATTTTTAATATGATCCACTGGGGATTTACAGGCATATAAAATCTAGAAGGAACAATAATAGGAATGAGTTGAGAATCTGTATACCTTAAATTTAAATTCCTGAAATGTTTCTGAAATGTTTTAAAATGTCTCTCTTTTCTTCCCTTTTCTCTGACAGCAGCATTGGTCAACTTCTGGGCAGATTTTCAATAGCCCTAGTCCCCCCAGGACTTTGTTAATTACATTATCCAGAGAAAGCACAAACTGCCAATTGCCCACTGAGAGGTGCCAGCTGATTTAGCTTCATAAATCTCCCCTTTGTGTATGTGTTCATGCACTTTCAAATTAAATTTACTGTTTCAGAAATTTCTTTTAACTAAGATACATCCAAGTATCTGGAGAGTCATGATTAATGTACAACCAACAACTTACTAAGCGAAAGAACTAGTTAATAAACAAAACTGTAGTAATCTTCTTCTATATTCTGATAATTTGGAATTCCAAAACTCTATTACTAAACTTCTCTGGACAGAAATAGATGAAAAATATCTATGTCTAGCTTTGGAGGAGATAGAAATACCTTCTATTTTCATTTTTGTACAAATGATTTTCTGATAATTTAATATAAACATTCATAAAACAAGTGGTCAAAATTATGAACTAGGGCGCGCCGAGCCCCGCCCGCCGGGCGAGCAGAGGGCGCGGGGCGCCGCCAGGTCCTCGCACTGCTCGGCTCGGGCCGGGGCGCCGCAGCCGCGCGCCCAGCCGGAGGAGGAGGAGGCCGCGGAGGAGGCGGAGGCAGGCGGCGGGGGGCGGAGCTGCCGGCGAGGGGGACGAGAGCGGCAGTCGCGCCGGCGCGGGCGAGGAGCGGGCCCGGGCGGCCGCCGAAAATGGCTCCAGTGGTCAAATGAGGCTGGAAAAATATATAGATGCAGCACTGCGGCCTTTCCAGATGTTTGAGTGTGATACTCCAGTGAGAAATTGATCCCTTGGATTAGGTAACTAGTCATAATGAAGAAAATTAGTCTTAAAACCTTCCGGAAGTCTTTTAATTTGAATAAAAGTAAAGAAGACACTGATTTCATGGTAGTACAACAGCCATCCCTAGCCAGTGACTTTGGAAAAGATGATTCCTTGTTTGGTAGCTGCTACGGTAAAGATATGGCCAGCTGTGATATCAATAGCGAAGATGAGAAAGGTGGGAAAAGCAGATCCAAGAGCGAGAGCCTGATGGGGACCCTGAAAAGGCGACTTTCTGTGAAGCAGAAGCCCAAGGGCAAGGGCAGCACGCCCTCGGGGGGCTTGGCTGAGGAGGACACCTTCTCCTCCTCCTCGGCTCCTGTGGTCTTCAAGGACGTCAGAGCTCAGAGGCCCATCAGGTCCACTTCCCTCCGCAGTCACCACTACAGCCCCACGCCCTGGCCTCTCCGACCCACGAACTCTGAGGAGACCTGTATCAAAATGGAGGTGAGGGTCAAAGCTTTGGTCCACTCTTCTAGTCCAAGTCCTGCGCTGAACGGGGTTCGAAAGGATTTCCATGACCTTCAGGCTGAAACTGTGTGCCAGGAGCAGAATGGTTCCCTCAAGCGTTCAGATTCTCCCCACGGAGACTTGCATCTCCACCTGGAGGAACACGTGCCTGTAGTTATTGGACTTGTGCCTCAGGACTACATTCAGTACACCGTGCCTTTAGACGAGGGGATGTGTCCTTTGGAAGGATCGCGCAGCTATTGTCTGGACACTTCTTCGCCCATGGAGGTCTCTGCGGTTCCTCCTCAAGTGGGAGGGAGCTCTTTTGCCGAAGATGAGAATCAGGTAGACCAGGACCTAGTTGTTGCCCCAGAGATCTTTGTAGACCAGTCAGTGAATGGCTTGTTGATTGGCACCACAGGAGTCATGTTGCAGAGCCCCAGAACAAGTCATGATGAGGTCCCTCCACTCTCGCCATTGCTACCTCCAATGCAGACTAATCAGATCCAAAGGAACTTCAGTGGGCTCACGGGCACAGATGCCCATGTGGCTGAAAGTATGCGCTGTCATTTGAATTTTGATCCTAACTCTGCCCCTGGGGTGGCAAGGGTTTATGACTCTGTGCAAAGTAGTGGTCCCATGGTTGTGACAAGCCTTACGGAAGAGCTGAAGAAACTTGCAAAACAAGGATGGTACTGGGGACCAATCACACGCTGGGAGGCAGAAGGGAAGCTAGCCAACGTGCCCGATGGTTCTTTTCTTGTTCGGGATAGTTCTGACGACCGTTACCTTCTAAGCTTGAGCTTTCGTTCCCATGGTAAAACACTTCACACTAGAATTGAGCACTCGAATGGTAGGTTTAGCTTTTATGAACAACCAGATGTGGAAGGACATACATCCATAGTTGATCTAATCGAGCATTCAATCAGGGACTCTGAAAATGGAGCTTTTTGTTATTCAAGGTCTCGGTTGCCTGGATCTGCAACCTACCCCGTCAGACTGACCAATCCAGTGTCACGGTTCATGCAGGTGCGTTCTCTGCAGTACCTGTGTCGTTTCGTTATACGTCAGTATACCAGGATAGACCTGATTCAGAAACTGCCTTTGCCAAACAAAATGAAGGATTATTTACAGGAGAAGCACTGCTGAAAGATTGAGAACCCTGCATCTTGCACTTTGGGAATAAGAAAAAGAGATTGAGATACAGTTTACAACTTTCATTGCCATCAGAATCTTTTGCTGCCATAACTATTTTAATTTTATGTGTAAGAGTCAACAGTTTGTTAAGGGGTGGGGAAGTGTCTGCAAGGTGTCTTGGGTTTATTTTGGTTCTTTAAAAAGGGATGTCTTGAGATTCTAGAAGTGTGAATTATCTTTCATTAGTGTGCCGAATAATCGCAATGTGAATTATCAGATTCTCCTTGATGCCCCCCCCCGTCCTTTGCTGCTATCCACTGTGATTTTTATGCATTAAAAGCACATTTCATGTGTCTTCAACCCTAAGTAAAGTTGAATGAAACTTACAGAATGAAAATTACTTTGTCTTTTTAAATGACCCATTTTCAAAAAGTTACTGTTGAATGAACGTGTGATAAAACTATTTACATATACACTGAAAATGACTTTTTAATGTCATACTTCAAAAAGATTTATTTAGGATTATTAATTGACATCATCTTAGTTAATGGGATGCAAATTTGCCACATATCTTTACAACTTCTAAATTATTTTTAAGGTTGTGCTAATATTTTGGTTGTGAAAACTTTGTGTTTTTCTGTTGCCTTCATTTTCATCTTGTGGTTTGTCCATTTTAATAAATGGCCTTACATTTAAGAGTCATAAAGAGATATATACCACAAATTTAGCAATCGTGGCCTTTTCTGTCATTAAACCCGGGTACAAATTGGCATAGTGTAAAGACCTGTAGACTGGAATAGTGACTACAGAAGTGAGATCAGTTCCCGTGAGAGCGCTGTGTTCATGTTGCCTGCACTGTTCCTTTGGTTAAATGTTTAATCTGTGATTTCTTTAGTTTAGTCAACACATTCTTGGGTGAACTTGATTGTACAACTAATTTTCATAAATGGACTGGATTCTCTTAACAATGTTAAAGTTTATTAAAAAAAGTTTGAAATTGATTTGAATAGAAAGAAAAGATTGCTTTAAAGTTGGATTTATATTTTTCTTTTATGTAGTCACAATAAAATGTGCTAGATTTGACTTCTCTTTTCTCCTGCCTCTAATAAAATCAACCCTTAGTGACTTGAGTTGAAAAATTTTGGAAATTGTGGAGCATCACATGAGAAAAAGATGAAAACAGAACTATAGATACACAGAAGCCTGCCTCCTGCAGGATCCACTGCAGTTTCGGAACAGGCTTTTCATTTATTTGTTATTTTCATTGAACCAAGTCTAGAGTAATTTGGCCTCTCATTTTTTCTCTTTTTGAGTAAGTCAATGGGAAGGGATATTATGCCTGAGAATTTTTAGTTATTTTGGAATGTGGAGTGTTTGTTCACTTTATAATTCTGCAACATAGTCTAATTTTCAGATTGTTCCATTCAGAAAACATTCCCAGCTAAACAAGCCTTAAAGCAAAATGCTGGACATTTCTTCCTGTGTCACTTTAATTTTTCCCGTCTTCCCTTCTTTAAAACACAAGGGTAAAGGTCTTTGGTCTATGGCTGGCATTGTCATCAAACATCTCTGTATCCTCACTTTTTTCTTAGTTTTTGCTTTTTTGTGGGGGGTGGGGGTGGAGGTGCTGGGGTTCATGCTAGGCACATGTTTTATCACTGAGCTACATCCCCAGCCTGTTTTTTTTTTTTTTTTTTTTTTTTTTTTTTTTTTTTAAGAGACAGAACTGAGATATTACCAAGGAAAGGCACAATGCCATATCACAGTGTTTGGTATTTTGACTTAAATGGGGAAAGGTACTTCATTTTGGTGGGGCATTGATTGTACCTTGTTACAAAGACTCCTTTCATTTTTTGATGTTTTCACCTAATAAGATGGAATATGGCGTATTCTATAATAATATAATTTAAGTGTTCACTATAAGCTATTTGGATTAAGAACTATTACAGAGTTGTAACCATGTGATCAAATTGATGCAAGACATTTAACTATTTTTGCAAAACTATTTATTTTTAAACAATTTAAAATATATCTAGAAGTCCTTGTGCATCCATGTTAGATGGCAGGTATTGTCACAGTCACTTGTGCTGATGGTAAGTGTTGAGATGGCTTCTTTGTGTCTGTCTGTCCTCGGTGAGCTGGCGGTACAGAGGCCTTGGGACCACACCTACCAATCTCTGTGGATGTAGCCTGTCCCTGCATTTTCTCATAATGCCATGTGCTTAAAATATGCCTATGTAGTGTCAAGATTATTTTGACCTTTATCCAAATGTTTTTTAAATTGTATTTTGTGGTTTTTTGGAGGGCAAGTCAATACTGTTCTAATTTGGAAAAACAATTTTTTATGTACTTTGGTGTATTCATAATGCAAAATACCTTAAAGTAATATGCCCTATTATAATTCAATTTGAAATTGTTATGTTCTTATAGTATATAGATAAAAATCAAAGGATTTGCCAAGAAATTAAATTTGCAAACAGAAATGTGTATTGCAGAATTTGCTGCTTATGTGTAGAGAGGTACCTCTTTTGACCTAGGCAGTTTGACATAATGTGGAAGATTGGCTTTTCTGATACTGAAATGGTCTGGTAAAAGTGGAAAGGGGAGAAAGAGAGAAATCTTTATCCTATAGCTTGGTCTAGATTCTATTTGTTGAAGTTTGTGGATTCTGTTGAAAGGGAACTTAAGTGACATGGACCCAACTTGTAAGTGATTCTCAAGTATGTACTTTAAAAGAAATCAGACCTCCTGGAAAACAGGAAGCTGTGTCCATTTGTGACAGTAAATGGATCAGAGGTAATTTTTTTTTAATCAAATATTTCATCATAGAGCTTGGTGGAGGCTGGAAGCTATTTTGAGGCTTACTATGACAATGCATTTTATAAATGAAAAGAAAGCTGTGGAATGTACTTGAAAAATGTCTCCTTTCTCTGTCTAAGGAAAACTGTTTTCTTTCTGCTTGGTGCAATATGAAAATTTAAAAAGTCACACATTATATCACAGGAAATGACCTAGAACTAAAAATAGTTTTAAGGAAACCAGCTACCTAGGGCAGCCCTCTTGCCATTGAAGAAAATCACGTGCCAAAAGGCAAAATCATTGGCATATAGGAAATGAAACACAAAGTATATGTTATATTTTCTGAGCCAGTATTATTGAAACAGGATAAAAGTTACTAAAATCTTAAATAGGTTTATGCAATGTTTCCTAGTGCCACAGGTCTATCTTTCTAACAATGCTTTCAGGAATGCCAATTTTAATTATTGTACGTGTCACATAGTATATGAGAGATATTGCTTTATGAATGATTCAAAATAATATATTTTGATTTAAAACTTAATTGCTTTTCATTGAATGTGAAATATTAATTTGAAAGTGAAATCACACTACCAGCAATAGATACTTTTGTTGAATACTCTAATAAGGAACAATAGCCAGTTCCATAAATTTAAATTCTAAAGGTGTTGGTACGCTAGTAATCACAGATTTGGTTTCTTTTAATACTTTTTTAATCCTGTAAAAAAAGGTCTTTTATAAACATCCTTTTTATTGATCAATCATAACATGGCAAAATGTGTAGTCACTGTTCCTGAAAAGTTATCCAAATGCTACATCCAGAGATGAGGAGAAATTCTTACAGAATTTTGTAATAGTATATATGTTGGGTTAAAGAAATTTCATAGTTGTTGGAGTGCCATGAAATTAATACTTGCAATCCAGATTGCTGTAGTTTACACTTTTTCTGTATGTTTCAAATCAGGTGTGTACCATTTGTACTGAGAACACCACAGAACGAACTATCCAAAGTCCATAGATTTTAATATGTGTTTTGGTTTGTAAACAAATTATAGTAATTTCTTGCACATTTTTGGAAATTAATTGTATAAGAGTTTATGTATCTGCTCCTAGATACAGTGTGTAAATAAAAATTTCGTTCACAAAAAAAAAAAAATTATGAACTAGATCACTTATACATATTGAAATATCTTTGTTGGCAAACCTCCCATCTCCATATGCAACCTGACTATATGGATTCTCTCTCTCTCTCTCTCTCTCTCTCTCTCTCTCTCTCTCTCTCATTTTAGAAGGCAGCATTTGTCCCAGAGGGTAGCATAAGTTTTAATTTTTATATTTTGAATATGCTTTTTCTAAAGCAATTTTCTTTAGCATTGTTGGTTTCAAAATTTGCTCATGGATCCATGGAATGATCTCCTGAACATCCAATGTTTGTTTAAGTTGGCATAAACCACCACCACTCCCCACACACCCCGACTCCCCATAAAAAGAAAATTCCAACAAGGCTTCCTATGGCCACCATCCAGAAACAAAGCTCAGATTCACTACTGGCCCAGTACCTGAAACCTTGACTGCTAAGTGGAATTGCAGTGTTGACTTCAGATCAGGAATGAATGTATGGCTTTGTAAGGTAACTAGGTTTTCCTAGTCTTTGATTTACTTCATCCTTATTCTACCTTAACTAAAGTATTAAACAGCATAACTTCATTAGACAAAACACCCCTATTTGAGATTTGAATCAAGACAGGTTTGAGTCTGCCTTTACTCTGCTGTCAAGAGCCAAATGATTTAGGGATCATGGGAATTCCATGAGCCTCAATAGCTCTATCTTTAAAATGAATAAAAATAGTGAAATATTTTGCAAAGTTATTGTGAGAGTTCAATTTTTAAGTATACAATAAAAGCACAGAGTGCAATCTTTCAGCATTTAGTATTGTCACCATGGTAGTTATCCATGTTATTTGTGATGTGATAGTAATTGCTGTCCTGAAAATAAAAATAAAATAAAGCTATAATTCTGTACATATGGGCAGGTATATGTATTTATATATATTAATGTGTTTTCTACAACTATAATTTATTTGTACAATTCTTTCCTAGTCTGTTGCCCAAAATATTAAATGCCATTTGGGAAAGGAAAACAAAGCAACACATGTTCTGATTTGTCCCGGGCCAATTTTGCAGTTTTTAGACCATATCAAAATGCTGTTGTTTGCATGAATTATGTATATGTGTACCTGACAACTCATACCAGAGACTTGAAGAGTCTTGAAAACTAGTCTACATTATTTTATACATAATATATGATTAAAATTATAGCTTTTACAGAAGTTTAAATATATATTATATCCTCATTATATAGAGGATTGCATATTGAAGGAGTTTGGAGTCAGATACATACCATTAAAAACTATTTGATCAAGGGCAAGTCATTTAATTGCTTAGCCTTAGGTTGTTTTATATTTTTAGTATTAATTACAATGATAAAGTACCACTATAGCAATAATTGTACATTCCATGAACATTTATAGAGTGCTTACTATGCCATAATCCACATATTTATTTATTTAGTTGAGTATTTGTATTAGGCATACTTTGTAGATGACAAAATGGAGGCTCAGTGATGGCCAACATTATCCAAATAATAAGCATCAGAGCTGGGCTTTACATCTATGTTTCAAAGTACTGGTACTTCCCATACTGGGAAGTACTGACAATTTTCCAGTGTTGTCATCAGGAACTGAGTCAATGCAGGAAGAGAGTACTTTCTAAACTATAAAGACATGTAAATGTTAGCTATTATTTGTGATATTAAAGACTCTAACCTCTGATGCTAGAGAAACTTTATTATGATATAAGAGAAAATTCAAGTAGAAAAAAAGTCCTGCAAAGCTACCTTTTCAGGATCTTAAATAATGTGCTATTTATAATATGTTATTTCCCTAGCCAAAGGCCATTTTCAAATTCTTTTCCATTAAACACTAAGGCATTGCCTCTATTGAACCCAAAAGGCTAGATACATATTTCTATCTTGTCTTCATTTCACATGGGGATGGTTGTTAGTTTCCTAGGACTGCTGCAATAAATTACCACAAGCATGCTGGCTTAAAACAACAGAATTTTTTCTTATAAAATTAAACATATTTTTAACATATGAGCTAGCAGTCACACTCTTTGGTATTTACCCAAATTAATTGAAAACATTTGTCTACACAAAAACCTTCACAAAGATGT